TTCAAAGTATGAAAGAACATGAGGGTTGTATTGCTCATAGGCTTACATGAGTTTGTAGGCCGTTCACATTTTAGGTAACATCACTATCAACAGTAGAAATGGCAATTTGGTAATAAGGCTGTTAGAGCAAAATGGAATTAATACTTGAATACAATAATTACACAGAGGCCGACAATTTTCAGAACCAGAGACCGGATCTAGTGTACCTGAAGGGTTTTGGTGTAATCTGACCCCGAATATAGCGAAAAACCGCGATTTTTCCACTTTGAGGTTAGAATATATCGAGAACCTAGGGTGGCGGACCAATTCTGAGCTCGGATTCGTAATCAGCGCACCAAAATCCTTCGGGTACACTAGATCCGGTCTCTGGTTCTGGACTTTCGTAAAATTTTTTCGGCCTGTGTTATTATAACTCTCTCTAGATATTGATAATTCTTGTTGTGAGTTTCTTTTTATTTTTAACTTTGAACGATGCAAATTTAACACATAATTTCATAGTTGAAATCGCTCAAACTTTTCTTAATTTTTACGCCACTTATTCGTTTTTTATCAAATGTTCATGCAACTACTACGAGCGGAGTGCCTAGTTTGAAAGCTTTATCTTCAATGTTTCTTGAGTTATTAATCAAACATTAAATTTCGTGTCCAATTTTTCAAGGATTCTAGAGTTTCTATGAAACATTTTACGAAGATATCTGGTAAGTAGTGCTGGTGAAAACCAAAGTTTGTTATTGGGCTTCGAGGTATTTAAATTTTTTGATTTGGTGTCCATTAAGAAAAAAACTTCAAATAACGGCATGGTAGGTACGTTTTAGGCCCAATATCTGTTTTCCAGAGTAGGTCTTAAATTGAACGAGAAATCAAAAAACACAATAACATATAGGGTGTTATATTTGAAAAAACTAACTTATAGGATAAAGTAAGGGTATTTGGATCAGGAGAATGGATGGACCAGTAGAGATAAAAACATAAACAAGTTCTAAAGAAGCAAATTGTTAAAGTACCTAGTCATGATTTGTTATTGTAATTATCAAAACGTCAGTACTTTTGCAAGTTTTGTTTTTAGTGACCCTTTAAATTTGTTATTATAATTTGTGAACAAAGTTGAAAGCAATTTAGATAATTTTATCTAAGTTTTTGTAGGTAAATGAATGAGATCTTATTTTATTATTATAACATAAAACCTCTATATATAGAATTTATTCGTCCCTCTCTCTTGTCAAATAATAGATGGACCAGTACACTGAAGGAGAAATGACCCTAACATGAGCTGTTGTTATCCGTTACAGAACATTTAAAATTATCCAAAGCCAGGTCCATCTGATGGAGTTCACTTAAATCCTAAAGTCACAATATCAGTTTCTCAAAATGACAACGCACAACTAGGGCCCTCTAGACTTTGTATAAACTGTCCACGTATATAATTTCGAAATTTCGAAGAAAATATTCTACTTGGAAGAGCATTTGCAGATAGTTCACCTATACCATTCGTAAATTCAGCGTAAACTGTGTCAGATAGAAAATTACGGGAGTTCTAATGATCATAAAATACCTACATATGAGAAAGAAAACAAATTGAAAAGTTATAAAAAAAATATCTGGATAAAAGTAATAAAGACAGAACATGAGTAAATACCGAAAAGAATCTTCATCCTCAGACTCTGATGACATATTGTTTAACGGTACTACGTCAGCAGAAGACCATTGCAGAAATATTTAGTGAATGAAAACCCAAGTGATTTTCCCAGGAAAGTCGAGAACAATATTTTTTAAACAATAAAAACTGCAAAACAATAATTAAATTTTTTTGGCTTTTGGCGATTTATCAAAAATGGTCCGATTTAAATTCTGAAAATGGCATTTGAAAGTAGACGAAAAAATCTCCAATTTGTATATCTCGGATTTTAGCCTGGGTGATGGGAAATATGCTAAAAATACCCTTGAAAGTCGCCCGAAACGATCGAAAGTCGCTCGAGCCACAGTCTAGTAGCTGTAGTGGGGGAAGGAGTGAACGGAGGACTCAAACTTGACGGAGTTATGAATTTTTAAAAAAGGTTTATTTTAGAGGTTTTTCTTTATTTTCTATGTAAAAAATTAACCGATCGGGTCTCGCAAAAAATCATTTTATAGGTTTTTTTATTCTCTACAAAAGTCCTATTAAGAGAAAGACGATTCCATAATTATTTTTCCTGATATTATAAAAAAAACAAAAAAATGTCATTTTTTTGCAGTTTTTATTGTTTAAAAAAATTGTTCACGATTTTGCTGGGGAAATCACTTGGGTTTTCATTTACTAAGTATTTTTCAAAAGGAAATACATGAAATTTGATGTAATATTTAAGTGTAAAAACAGCCTCTTTTTTCGCTCTTTTGGTTGGCCTACCTGGTCAAAAGATAACGATAGGGGAGGAGAAATGGTTTTTCTATTTTAAAATATTTTTGTTTTTTTATATTTTTTATTTTCATGTTATCAAATTTTTTGTTACTAGGTAGTAGAAAACCATTTTGTTTGTTATTATTATTGTTACTTTTACAAAGTGAAATAAGTTTTTTTATATTGCGGTTCTCCAGCTCCCCTCACCGAAAATAAGAATTTATTAGGTACGACTTTTATTTGATACACTTTGTTGCATTATTGATATTATCAGAGCTATAGAGCTATATTCGTCTTAAATGGGACACCCTGTATAATATTTTGTTTTCCGCATAAATAAAACTGTTCCGTAAAGATAAAATTTTTCTTACAAAACAAACTTTCACGTTGTGCTTTCAGATGTGTAGAACTTTCATGTACGAAATGATTACGTGTAAAATAAAAGCGAAAGTATAAAGAAATGTTCCTTTATTACGCCATCTTGTCACAATAAGACATCGTTTTTTACTTAGGTCGCAGGAAGATAATCTGCATTGTCTCTTTTAATGGACATCCTACCCTACCTACACAAAACCTCCTAACAAACGTAACTTGGGTTCATTTTCTCTACCAAAGTGCAATGAAAAAGGTACTCAGAATATTCTATTTTTTTTTGGATTTATTTTTATGTGTCTATAAAGTGAAATTATTTTGTTTTCAGGCAATTTTTTTATTATCTCTGAAATGCTGTTTGGTTTATTCAAAGGACTCCTTTACGCAAAAAGAAAATAATCAAGATCTCCAAACCTCCAGCGGCAAAATATTATACGAATATATAACTCCGATTGTACAGATTCCAGATGCGTACAATTCCAATCAGCAACCACAAAATTATGGTAAGTAGTTATATATATGTAAATATTGTACGTTTTATTTTAACTTTCTCTGGTTGCCAATTGCACATCTTATTTTGAAGCAATAGACGTTTCAATGTTTCTAATTGTCTTCTTTAGAACAATACACAGGCTGTCCAAAAAAGAAAGTCAATCCTTCATTCGCTTAAATGAAAAAAATAATAATAATAATAATAAGAAAAAATAAAATTGCGAAAAATTTCAAAAGACACCTACAAAAAAGTTGAGGAGGATAAGGTATCATGGCAACTTCGTTTTTAATTTGTTTTTCGGAGTACACGAATCTCTATAAACTCTTTAACAATTATTGCAATAGAGTAAGTAACATCTGCGTCAAACGGGAAGTTATTATCTGGAAAATTATCAGTTATTACGAAAACCAATTTTGAAGTTCTATTTAAATGTCCTTTATCTTTTAAAGCAAGCATTTTTGTATCAAGTCTGAACCATCTTATTTTGATGTCAGAAGTCTATGGCTAAGTCTAAGTCTAAGTCTAAGTCTAAGTCTAAGTCGAAGTCTAAGTCTATGGCTTGACCTTTTTGACACCCTGTATATTGTCTCTGCGTATTAGAGGATAACAAAGATACTTCAATTGATAAAATCAAAATCGTCGAAAATATGTCCAATTGTTTCAGATTAGGCTTTGTAGCTTTCAGTATTTTCGACAACATAAACTAATAATAAATTTTTAACATCGGTACAGGTTTGGCAGATCTGGGGATGGAATTATGTGCCTACTAGTTGTCGATTCCATTGTTTTTTTTTTCGAGATGCTTGCCTATTTTAATGTGACACGACTACAGATACCAGAGTACATAAAGCTTTACAAATTTATATTTATGTTAAAATATGCTACTCATAAATGCATCTAAAATTACATACCTACAAGCACACAAAAAAAATCCAAACCCAAGAGACCCACATATCATTTCCAAAGGAATTTGATGCGCTGAACACGATCCTGAACTTAAAATTCATGATTTACCGATGAATTTCGGAGAAAAGTGAAATTTTTGGGTGAAAACGCCCAAATATGGGTCAAAACTGATTTTCTTCATAAAAAATTTCACATTTCTGTGAAATTCATCAAGAAGTTATTAACATTGACTGCAGGATCGTGTTCCTTCGGAAATGCTACACGGGTTTGGACTATTTTTTTTTTTTCATGTGTTATCATAACATCAAGTAATTTATGAAATATAAATTGTGGTTTTATACTGAGTATTTCTTATTCCGTATACATAGAACTACTACAGATTCTAAACGTCATAAGACAATTTAATTAAACTTATCTTTATTCAAAGTTGCTTCATTTAGCCACTAGACGGTATTAAAATTGGAAAATAGTTTCTCAAATAAAAGAATAATTGTTATAAAGTTTGTTCCAATACGATTTGACTAAACTTATTTCTATCCACAGTTGCTAGAGGCCTTTTTGACATAGTAGCCATTTGTATTTTCTTATATGAGAAATATATCCCCACTACCAATTAAATTTTTTTATAGTTTACTTAGTCGACTAACAGCAGTTTCTTTTTTCTTTTAATACCCGGAAGTAAGGAAAGTCCAATGTTCTGAAGAAGTTACTGTCGTAGCAAACTGATTAAGAATAAACTCACAAACCACATTTATCTATTTTCCGTTATTTTTTATAATACTCCGTCCCTTATAAAATAAAGTTTCACCAATATCCAGCTTTATCTGCCGTCACATCACATTTCCTCTGTTCCAGGCTACGTCCCCTCGAATATCCCATTATTAGAGCATCCGCAACTTCCGAAAATCGACTTGCATGCCGTCATCGATGGAAATCCCCTGCTGGCCGCCCTGCTATTGGGTGCATCTTTAGGACTGTCTCCCAAGCCCGCAGCCCCCAACCATCCCGAACTGCTTCCCATAAATCCATACGTCGCGCTCCTGTTATCTCAGTACGGGCGGTATGTGCCCCTTCATGGCGGGGCCAGGGGCATATACGGATACGCTGCGGCTAACAATTTTCACAATAATAAGCCCTTCGGGGCGTACAAGGTGTACGAGGATGCGAAACGACGGTAAAGGTAGTGCCTAATAAATCGTACAAGTATTAATTTCGTTTTCTAGTGCTAGAACGAAAAACTGACGATGCTTCTTCTCATCAATTTTCAGCAGACGTTTCATTTTATTGTTATCAAAGGTCACACTTGGTGTGGGCCACTTTAAAGGTCACACTAGTGCGAATTGGGATTTTATCAACTTTAAACCTTTACATCCTCATTATTTGTTAAAGAAAACATAACGTATTTATATCAAAATTGTGGTAAAATTTTCCGAGAAATCGAATGACGTAATTAGTTTTAAAAAGAATAAATTGTTAATAAAAAATGCGATTAAAAAAACATTTTTCGAAATATGCTTTTTTTAAAGTTCGTATTTATATATATATATAGGGTGATTCAGGTTTTAAGGCACAAACTGAAATGGGTGATAGATCTTATCATTTTAAGCAAAAAAGTTTATATAAACATGAGTCCGATCTCGATCAGTAGCGGAGCTACAGGGGGTCAAAGTTTATTTATTTTTTTCTATTAATTAAAATATCTCGCTCACTTTTCAAAATATCAATTTAAAATTTGGTGTGGTTAATACTTCCTATAAGGACATCATTTCAAGCATTTTAAAGATTTTTAAAATCTACAGGGTGATACGTTTTTGGAGGTTAGGGCTTCTTTATCCCCCCCAAACTTTTTCTTAGTACGCCTCTGACATCTTCCAGTTAGCAAATTGGGTGGCTAGTTTAATTTAGAAGGTTTTTTTGCTTTTCAATTTTGTTCGAGAAAACAACCGTTTTCGAGATAAATAAGCATATCCGTAAACATGTTAATTTTGCCTGTTTCGCTTAAATTTTATTCTTGGACAAAATTCGTTAAAAATGCAATAAATTGTACTAAAATTGCAATGTTTTTAAACATGAGTCGAATTTGGATCAGTAGCGGAGATCGATACAGAAGGTAGAGGATCAAGTTGTTTTAAGGTTTTAAAGTTGGTTAAATGGTTCATACATACATTTTACCATTTCGAAAATTTTTAAAATCGTAAAAGTTAAGTAAGCTCTTAAAACAAATAACATGTATTTTTTAAATTTACTTTATGATTTTAAATCCACCCTAAACATTAAAAAAACGCTACAGACATAATAAAAGAATATTACTAACGCAAATAATTAAATCTAAATATGTAAACAATAAATGACAAGTAATAATACAGACCTGAAGATAATTACTAATAAAGCTTAGAGTAAGTGTTCAAAATGAGATCCTTCAACCTCTACACACTTCCTACATCGCCGAACTAATGCTGATGTTGCTCTAAATATTTGGTTGCGATCATTCCTCATTTCAATGCAGGCTTGTTGGATGCGAATGATAAGTTCCTCCCTTGTTTGGACTGGTGTCGCGTAGACTTTATCTTTTATAGTACCCCAAAAATAAAAATCCAAGGGATTCAAGTCGGGCGACCTGGGAGGCCAAGCAATATGACCTAATCGACCAATCCAACGACGCGGAAAATTAGTGTTCAGCCACTCTCTAACTACTCTTCCGTAGTGAGCTGGAGCCCCATCCAGTTGTATCCACATTTCTTGCCTAATGTTAAGTGGTACTTCTTCCAGTAACACATTAAAATGATCATTTAAAAAATTAAAAAATAATAAGGAATTTAACCGATTGGGCAGAATGTGCGGTCCACAAACGACATTATTAATTAAGCCACTCCAGATATTTACATGAAATTCATGTTGAAAATCATGCGCACGATTAGCGTGTGGATTTTCGTGAGCCCAAACATGTAAGTTATGGTAATTTACCACACCTCTTCTGGTAAATATGGCTTCATCAGTCCACAATATATGTTTTAAAAACTGTTCGTCATTTTGTACCACTTCTAATAGCCAGTGGCAAAATGCCAATCTTCTTGGTGGGTCCTCTGGTAGTAAACCCTGCACTGGTTGGAAATGGAATGGTTTTCTTAAGTCGGCGTGCAAAGTACGCCACACAGTTGACTGAGAAACCTCTAGTTGTATCGCGGCT